ACGAAGTGAAGAAGCCAGCCATTATCGAGCAATCCAATTCTGTAACTAAACAAACGAAGGACGAGACTAGCCTGAATCAGGAGAATCAATCGGCCGCGCGGTCTCACGAGACGCCCAAAGCTACGAAGAAGGAAGCCGAGGCCAAGTTCGAGAGCAACGCGGAAGAACAGGTCGACATGTCAGGTAAGCCGGATCACGAACGACTGGAGTACGAATTAGGGGGTTAATAAAAAGAAAGAAAGAAAAAAAAAATGGTCATTTTGCAGCCTCGATGATTGCAAAAATCCGGATCACCACGGAGGAGGAAGCCAAGGCAGCTATAGCCGAGCGTAGAAGATTAGCCAGAGAACAGGCTGAACGAGAGGCGGAGCTTGAACGTCAGCGACAGGTGCGCTTTCCAACAGCCTGCCTGTATATAAAAGCGGCCGCATTGTTCGCGAAAAGAGGGGACCACACCTCATTTGGAGAAATCTTTTTGCAGGAGGAGGAAGCCCGTTTAGAGGCCGAGAGATTGCGCGCCGAGGAAGAAGAACAACGCCGTTTGGAGGAGGAGACGCTTCGTTTGGCTAATGAAGCTCGAGAAGCCGAGGAACAGAGACTGAGACTGGCGATCGAGGAGGCGAAGCGTCGCGAGGAGGAGGACAGGAGAAGAAGAGAAGAGGAGGCTCGTCAGAAACAGGAGAAAGAAGAGGCTGAGCGGAAAGCGAGGGAAGAAGCGGAGAGGTAGGTTGATGATTCTATTCGATCGACGTTCTCCCCTGGTCGACCGTTTAACGATGCACTGTGTAACATTTTTTTCTTTTCTTTTCTTTGTTTTTATTGCAGACAACGGATCGAAATGGCGGAACGCCTTAAGAGGGAAGAAGAGGAGAGACTTGCTAGACGTAAACGGGTCGAGGCGATCATGCTTAGAACTCGAGGCAAGAACCAGAGTAACACACCTACAAAGGTAAAGCTACCTATTAGATTGTTAATTGTTGAATGATGTTTGTACGATCGTTAATTTCTCCTGAAGGAAACGTTTACGATCGTGTTGCAGGGCGAGGGTGGTGATGGCGATAAATTGAAAGAAGACAGTCCGAGCGATGAGAATAAAACAGCGCCAGGTAGCAAAGTTGAAGATGTTATGACAGCCAGTCTGATATCCGAAGCGACTCAACAGTTCATTAGCGGGGAGCAGCGAGCTCATCACACGGAAAACAATACGACTACGGACATTGTGCATAACGGCACGCATAGTAACGGCATTAATGAAAGTAAAATTGTATTGGATAATAATCAGGGTAATGTGGAAGGAGAACTGAATGGTCATCATACAAATCACGGAAACGGTATCAACAGTCAATCAATTACATTGGATAATGCAACCGTGTAAGTATATCAAATTCAAAGTTACAGATTTGTAACCAACATTTCTATTAACGTAAGAGTTACATACTGACACTTACCCGATCGTCATTTAACAACAACAACAAAAAAAAAAAAAA